TTGACGCAATATTCGTATGTTTCGCTTGTTTCTATCAAAAAGTCAGTTTGGGTGTCGGCAGTATTCGTTTTTGGTTCAGTTTGGGTGTAAATTGAAGTTGTTACTTTCATGATAGATGGCGTTGGTATTCTGCAACTATCGCTATTCAAAAATTTTGGAAATGTGGCCGGTTTTTTGTTTCTGTTGCTCGTTTTATGTTTTCTCTGTCGTCCTTGATGATGGCTGTTTTTTTTTTTACTTTCCGAGTGTCTTGCATTGTCCTCTGGCCTTCATTTATGCCATCTTGGGTCGGAAATACTTTCCTCTCTATCAGATTCCCCATGCCATCTGTCTGTGCTGATTTGATCCCTTGAGATGAATCCTGCTTCAAATCCGTTCAGATTGCTTCTATTTTTCATTATCGATAATTTTTTCTCGTCAGTCTGTCCACCATTTGCAAATTTCTGTATTTGCTGACTAAAACTAGATTTCGACTGATTTTTAGACTGAGATGGGGTCGAATGATTGAAATCCAGTTTGAGGATAAATTGACCGCTCATGCAATGAATGAAATGTTTCGAAAGCACTTGAGAGTGAGTTTGCCTTATTAGCGTTCTTTCATTTTCCGCGACTTTTTTGATCAGCCGATACGGTGCTAGATTCTTATTGGCCGATTGGTTTAAAATTAAATAGTCAATATTGTCAAGATTAATAATGAAAGAGTTGATTGACGCCACAACAAACTCCTCATTGTACTCAATAGGGGGTATCGCTAATCCAACCGGAATTCGGGACACTTAGTCAATTAATCTCATTTTTTTTCCTGCCAAATGTTTGAAATCGAAGTTGAAAGGAATTAACCAATCTATCCATCTTGTGAGTCTACTTTGACTTGTTTTTGATCGCTCACATGCGTTTAATGAGCTTATCAAAGCTTGGTGATCAGTAATGACTGTAAAATTTTTCCCATAAAGATAATATTTGAAGTGCTCGATCGCCCTTACGACCCCCAAGTGTTCTAATTCATTTACTGAGCACTTTTCCTCTAATGAGTTTAGGAATCTTGACAAATATGCAATTGCTACCCACCCTCCTGATGTTTTTCGTTCTAGGGCAGCACCGAGACCAAATGTAGTTGCGTCAAAGACCACGCGTGTTTCGAGATTCTGATCAAAATGGTTAATTGTGTTATTTCAGCCACCAACATTCAAATTATTTGGAAATCTGTTTCATGTTCGATTGACCAGTCTAGTGTTTTGTGTTTATCTGTGTTTTTTAGAATCTGACACAGTGTATTGGCAGATTGTGCCAGATGTGGTATCTATCTAGTAAGATGTTGTATTGAAGCCATAAAACTTTTAAGTTGTTCTATTTTTTTTTCGGTGGAGATAGTTTTCCTATGGCTTCTGTTTTTCTTGCTAAGAGTGTTGTACTCTCGCTATCTTTGTGGTACCCGAGCCATTCAAAATGTTTGCATGCCAACTTACACTTGTCTATTGATATGGCGAGATTTTTTTCGTCAAATTTTTCGAAAACGTGTTTTTGTGAGCATCTTCCAATTTTTTTTGTATTAATCTCTCATCTAGATATGCATACGTATTCTTGCAGTTTGTTAATGTAAGATCAATTGCCTTTTGAATCCTGCCGGCATATCCGTAAGGCCATAGAAGCTTGTTTGAAATTGATATGTTCCTGTGGCATTTCCTCCGATGAGGCTAAAATTGCATTGTTCACGAGTTTTCTTATCCAACGTGATTTGCGAATAAGCATAACGTAATTCTAATGACGAGAACAGCGTTTGTTCATTGGTGTCGTATTTGATGGTTTGTGCGATGTTGTCTAGAAGTAACTTAATATTGGGCATTTGATGCTTGTTTTTGTGAATGATTTTATAATTTTTTTCGAATCTAGTGCGAGTTTTACCGTTTGATCTTTCTTGAAGGTAATTACAATCGGGCTGATGAACTGTTTGTCCGAGCATTTGTCCAATTTCACTACCTGTTTTCGGTCTATTAACTTGTTTAGTTTAGTTTCTACTCTTTCTTGTAGATGAATCGCAAATCGACGACCCTTTTTTTGGATAGGTGTGCCATTTGGAAAAAACTGTGTTTTCATTACATGATTTTTTGCTTTCCCAATTCTGATGCATAAGTGACTGCAATTGTTTTTGACCCATTGTTTTATTTCTAGATTTGAGTTTTTTCTCCCTCATCTATGGCTAGGATTTCGTAATTCTGCGGTTTTGCTTGATATAGCTTTATCCCAATTTTCGTTGATTTCGACCGAGTATGTTTGCTTTTTGACCAACTACCACAATGAATGAAGCTGAGTGAATCGCCAACACCCCGGATCCTACTACATGAGTGAGTCTTTCTTTTGGAACAATAAACTTTCCATTATAGCATGCTAAATTTCGTCTTCTATAGGAATATTTTTGAAGGTTGTGGACTTGTCAATTCGTTGTACACAGCGTGCTGGCTGTCGTTTCATCTAAGAATGACTTCGGGCTTCCGGAGTCCGCAATGACAAATATATTGTCTGTTTTTGTTTTGAGTTTGAATATATGTCCATTTAAATCTTCGTCATCGACTTTTGCTGCCGGTTTGATTTCAAATGCTTCTGCGATTGCCAAAATGGAGAAATTGTCTCTTTAATTCCTCCCATCCGTTCTGTGATGTAAATTCGGCAAAAGCCACTGGGTCGTTGTCCTCTGTGTTTTGAGGTTGATCATCAACAACACCAGGCTGATCGTGATTTTGTTTTGGAGGAAATGTACACTCTCCGATCTACACACCTTAGCAAACTGTCCCCGTTTTGCTCATTTCACTCAAATTTTGTCTCTTGCTGGACAAGTTTGTAGATGCTTAGGCCCGAAAGTTTTTCCACGCCTATAACTGTGAACTTCTGTTCTAATTTCCACGTGGTTTTGTTTTCCGCGTGAGTATTTGCCTCTATTATTGTTATATAAGTTTTGTGATTTTCCGCCCCGGCCTCGGGGTTGAATTTACCCAATGGACTGTTGCTTTGTTTGTTGTAGACGGTATTGCAGGTCCGAATGGTATTTGTTTCATGGTTCAACTCTCTTCAATACCCTTTCGCGTCGAATGGCATATTCATATGCATCTTGTGGTGTGCGTGTTTCTGCTAACAGTTCCTCTATGATTTTTTTTGTTGTTCATGTGTGCGGTGAACATATCCCGAACCCAACTAATCTTCTCGATCTCCGCAGTCTGCTCTTGATGCAACTTCCACTAAGTCAGCGTGAAACTGTTCTAGCGATTCGTTTTTTCTCTGTTTACGGCAAATAAAATTGTATCGCTCAAATGCTATAACTCTTTCCGTGATAAATATATCGTCCAATATCTGTAACAGTTCCTTTGTTGTTATTACTTGAATATTTATTCAAGGTCATTTTTGTTGAACTAGCCTTTGTCCCTCTGTGCCTAAACAAAGGAATAAATAACTTCTCACCTTCGCATCTGCTTCCTCCCATACTACTGAGTTGCACATAACACCATTTTAGCGGGCCTTCTGGCATCGATTTTCCCATTCGACGCGTTTTTCCTGGTTTCTAACTTTTCTGTTTTTCCGTTGTGCCTCAGTTTCTCCTGTTACTTCGACTTCAAGAATGGGTTCTGGTTGGACAGTGAAATCCGGTTTGTCACGTAACAAATTTTGAATTCTATCCCGTCCTTCGCGAATAATGCCATTTCGACAATTGCGGCCCACTTGGTCCACTCTAGTGGTGGTGCCGCTGAAGCTTTTTCCCAAAATGGATTAATGCTAAGTGGTTTTTTTTTTGTAAATTCTACTGGCTGCGCAATGTCTTACCACAATGTATGAGCGATGTTGATATCTAATCTTAACGAATTGGTAATCTACGAACAGCTCTAACTGGGAGCATAAAAAAACAACTAGTTCGTAGAATCTTTATTCATGTTCTGGGCGGCATAACATAATACCAATTTGATAGAACACATCAGTCAAGGTCACCTGACCAGCTCAACGCGTTGATCTTAAGCTCATCGCGTTGAGCTGGTCAGATGACCTTGACTGATGTGTTCTCGGGGTGATCGACTATCCTCAACATGGCGGAAATAAAACTCAACGTTTTTTATTGCAACAATTTTAGCAAAATCCAAAAAAAACTTTGTTGCTATTTTTAATTTTTAGGTAATTTCAGCTCTAGTTCGTATTTCATATAAAAGTGCAACGAAAATTTTGAGGACAAAATAGAACAGACAATTGGGTAGATGTCGAATTTTTGATGCCAGCTTTGTTTTCAATGCCAGCTTTGCCCTGATACGAGCAGTATTGTCTTGTATTTGCCGGGATATTTCGAGAACAAGAACACCTCTTCTATGTGTTATTACTGACTTACTTAATAACTGATACAATTTTTTTCCACTTTGGATCAGGCCAGATTTCAACAAACCAAGTGTATAATTTTAACCAAGTATCTTGAAAAATTCAAAAAAGTGGCAGAAGCGCAAAACTTATTGTTATTTTCCTCAGTTGACAACAAAAGTTTCAATTTTCTTCCCCCATGATGTAAATTTCCAGTTCGTTTGTCATTGGCCGAAAACTGCCAAATGACAATGCCATATAAAGGTATTTTTACGGAGAACAATTTGAAAATATTTGTAGACGTGTGTCATTTGGCGTGACCATTTGGGTGGCGAATGAGTCGAATCCCTGAGAGGCGCATTCGCCCCCGCCAGCTTCATTCTTTGACCGCTGCTGGCTTTGTAATACAAGTTTTGAAACCCTTCTTTCATATTTTGGGGATTTCAGTTCTGTTTGTTTTTCACTCCAAACTTTTGACGTAGAATTATATTCATTTAGCTTGAATATAGCTAAGTTTCCCAAAGTTAATGATTTCCTTACTAAAAATACATTTTGTATTTCGGTGCTCATTTTATATATTTTTTAAATATATAAACTAAAAAAAAACGTTTTTTCATGTGCATTTGAAAGCGTGGTATATTTTTTCATCAATGTGATTCCTGTTTTTGTTGGTACAGAAGTGAGTTTTATTGTTTTGTAGCTTCATATTTACATAGCTGACTGTATACCATTTACGCGGTTTAGTGTCTGTTTTTTTTTCCTTGTGCAAGCAGTTTAGAGGCCGCAAATATAACACAAGGCTCCCACAGTATTTTTTTTCGTTGATTATTTTTCAAATGTAGATAAAAACCTGCTGGTAATTCCTTTCTTTTCTGGTTTCAGAGATTTGCTTTTATTTGCTCATTTATCTCGCATTTGCTCGAGCCAAGCCAAATAATTGTTGATAAATATATAACCAGTGGTTTATTTGTTGGCGGCTAGGTTTTTTTCTATAACAGCACTCGATTTTCCTTACTTTCCGTTTGTTCTTTCTAACATCTGAAGTTATTTTGGACTTAGTCGATGGTAAAAGTCTTTTTTTTTGTTTTAGCTCCGTTACACTTTGATCCAGATTTGCATGTTGTAAAAATATACACCAAAACAGTACTTGAAGTTTCAGTGGAGTTAGTTTTATACCATCACTAGTTGCAAAAAGTGGCGCCAAATGTTTTCATTGCGTAGCTAGAAATAAAACATACAAAAACATAGAAAAAAAAACATAGAAGTTTTCAATATTTTTGAAGTTAAGCTTTTAATTGGACTGATTTAGCCCAAAATTGGATTATATTCTATTGTAATTTACTTGATCAATTTAATTAATTTGCGGGGTTACTTATAATAATTTTTTATATAGTTGTGTTCGGGTTTCGGAATTTGGTTCAGATTTGAAACTTAGACGTGTTTTCCCCTCGACTGAACAAACGTCCACTCGATTTCTGTTTTTCTTCGCGTGTTTAATTATATCGCAGCTCTTATACCAATTAATGCATACCGAAAGAGAGAAAAAGAATGCAACATACCAGAAGTACTAACTCACGTGAACTAAAGTTAAAACGTACTGCATCTGCAGGTTGTAACTCTCTCTGGACTAACTACTAGTTTTTCGCACCATTAAAACTTGTTCACATTTATTGTAATGGTCGGTTGACTTACCATTGTCGTCAATGTATAAGTCTGGTACAAAGCTCGCGAAGTAGATTTTTGTGAGAAACTGTTCGAACTGCATCATCAAAGCTGGAACTACCGGCGGCTGTAAATGTTGGTATGAAAATTGAAGAAACGCGCGCTGAAGAATAATTTGTAGTTTTGAAATTAGTCATCTCTAGTTTCAATTTTACATTGTTAAACAGAAAACTGCTCTCGAGTTCTGTAAGATAAAACAACAACATTGAAACGGTATTACTTCGTTTATATTCAATAAAAACATACCGAGAAGTTTTATTGCTTGAACCATTGAATGGTGTATATTACTGACTGCTAAATCAACGATTATATCTTGATTTTTATAACTGTTTAAACCTGGATAGCGTGTTTTGTTTTTTCATATGGCAACCTTACAACGTTTTACCGGATCCCATAACCTCTGGAATACTATTGCCCCAGAAATTGATTTGGACGACCAAAACGACGAAGATGCCGAAGAGTCTTCGACGATTGGTCGGAACCCGAAACAGGATCAAAGGGTCTCCGACACTTCCGATCTCGGGTCTGAGACACTTGCCATGAACTACGAGTCAAACAATCGAAATACTCTGCTACACCAGGGACCCCGGGATCGAGTCCCGTCGTCCACTGAAAGTTACGCAACCCTTTCACAGTCGGGTGTTTACAGAAATGTTGGTAGACCGACATCCGGTCAACAGTCGAGTCGACCATCTTACGTTGACGACGAGCAAAATCAAAACGAAAGAGTAAATGTAGTTAACAGCAGGAGTAATTTGTATCGTAATCCGGACAATGCGTCCAGTCAGTATTCGGTTAGGGATCGTGAGAATAGTTTCCTCGCGAAGCACTACACGCCACCAGTGGCGAAGAGCTTCAGCCCATCTGGTGCTGCTATGTCCACTTCCATTTCAGATTTCCCACCCGACCCCTTTCAGACTCTCAGGCGCCCAAACGAGGTTCGAATTTAAATTTAAAAAAACTTCAGGTTACTTACTTGCCCTCAGTTTTTTTGGTAAACCGGTTTTTTATTACGTGTGCTCTGTAAAAAATGACAAAAATGGACTCATATCAAAGGCTTTCTTAATGAAAAGCTGATGTTGGAGCGAATGATTTTTTTTACTAATGAAGTTCCATACTAATTTTTTTCTCAGTGTCCAGAAAAACAGGTTTGAGTTTTTTGCTTTTTAGATTAAACTTGAGCGATTAATGTGTTATATGATAATCAGATATTTACACAAGCAATGCTTGTGTTATACTATGAACTATCTTTTTTTCCAACCTATGTCGCAAATATTGTTGCGATAAAATGTGTTCATTTTGAAAGTGTTCATTTTCATCAATAACCAGCTATTAAGCACAACCAATGCTAAAGATTTTAACGATGCATATACAAAACAGTGCATACATACTAGTAATTTCATAAAAGTCCTTTATCTGTGTTGTACAGAGGACAACTCTTGGCCTACCGGCTTGTTAAAACAATTATTACTTGGGACTGTTTTTCGGACTGTTTTGTATCGACTGTTTTTTCTTTCATTTTCGTACTTCTCCGGACTATTTTGTATTGGACTGTTTTGTATGCGACTAGTTTGTACAGACACGATTTTAACATCGACTATTATTTTTCCGACTTTCGTGACGAAAGTAACGGAAAATTTGTGCTCGGGGTGGTTTTTTTTCTTCAAGCAAATTTCGACTTTTTAACTAGCCATTTTTGACGGGATTGTTCTATATCATTCAAAAAATACTGTTGTCCTGAGCTTAAATTTGGAAATATGTTTTACTTGTGATTATTCTTTGTAAAATTATGGGGATTCGAAATTACCATTTTGGCCAATTTGGGACAATTAACGCGCGATATTTTTCGCGCTATTAACGCGTAAGCGGGGTTTTATTCCGTCATAGAAATTGTTCCAAATTGGTTAAAGGAAGCTTATTTGCCATAACTGGTTTGTTACTAGGAGTGAAATTTATCACTTTGTTTTTAATATGGCGTGTGGAGGGACGATTTTCACAAAAAATCTCAAATTAAAAAAAAAATTCATTTCATTTTTATTATATTCAATTTTTTCATGTTATTACTGCTCCATAGACTGCTCTATAAATTGAGGCATATTAGTTTGTAAATATATTTTTTTCAAATTTACCGGTACTGGTGATGCGTCATAATTGCCGCGCGTCACTTAAGAAATTTTGTAGACTCAAACCTTAACTCATTCCGTTTTTCCCAGTAGCGTGTGTAAAATGATAAAAAACATACAATTTTAGCAAAGGAAAATTTATTATTGACTTATGTAGCGCTTCTTTGGCATTGTAAATGCGAAAAGTTTATTTAAAAAAATCTAGAAAAAAAAGTTTAAGGTTTTAGAAATTATTGTTTAATTGTTTACTAATTTTTTTGATATCTTATCCTTTCTCAAAAATAAATTGTGGTCAAGGAAGGCCAGTGCTTAAGTTTCAAGTAATTTTTATGGTCTGCTCTCCACATGGTGCTGAAAAAGCGGCCTAAATTTGGTTTGATAAAAATGTAAAATGTTTTTTTTTTTAATATCTTTGGTCGGAACATTGACTTTAGCAAAGCTAACTGATCTAAATACTTAATAGATGCAAAACACATTGTTGGCGATGAAGAGCTTGAAAGACATTAATTCTAAGTTTTCTGCTCAATATGAGCAGATTGATCAACATTCATGGTTTCAAATCGTCATTTATATTCTGAGAAAAAGCTTCTCAGTTATGAGATCTTTCGGATAAATTGGTTTCAAGTCTCTCAAAGACGGCTTCAACTGGCCCTTGAATTTGTTATGACCACCCTCGAAAAGTTAAAAGCGGATATTCACAATAAATAAGATGGATTTTCTCCGCGCAAATTTGGGATACCTCAAAGCACATTCACTGGGTTAAAGATGGATTCATATAGAAGCCAAACAGCCCAAAATATTCCAAAGGTTTTTGATAGAGTCTGGAAAAAGTGGTTCAAAAATAACCAAAAAAAATAGCATATAGTTCTTAAACAAGGGCACAACAGCGGTTCGCCGTGATGAGCTGTACAGCTCTTGTGTTGGTCCTTTCCCCCGTGGATAAATGGTCTTAAATATCAATCCCTTTAACTCATCCAAGAGAAGTCAGTAGTTTGAAAAGCCAAAAAAAGTTTCATTTTTAAAAAATATTTATTGCTGTATTCGTAAAATTCAGTGCTACTTTAACATCAACCGGTTGTTTTTGTTTAACAATAATTTTTCAGTATCTATCTACAAAAACTAGTGTGGCAAGAAAAAAGTAATACAGAACTTATGCCGGCTCAAACTCTGTGCAAAAATATTCATATTTCAGAAAAAATCGTTTGCGGCAAAGAAAAACTCCACAAAACAATGCCAGTTACATAGTCTGGGACAGCACGGAAATTCAATTTGGTTCATCTAAAACAAAGATTAACGCAGTTTTGGAAAACCGTTCCCATCGAAAAATTCTTGCGCAGAAAAACTACTGCATTGATATCTACCAAGGCTTTCGGAGCGTTTTCTTCGTTTTTAAATCAAATTTGTGCTATTTTTTTCAAAATAAATCATTTTAAAGTTGTATTCTTTGAAGTATTGAGTTAAAAATCAAATTTTGTGAAGTGTCCTCTTGTTTTTTTTCTCGCTGTTTCATTTGATCTACACGTGAAAAAGAAAAGGATCTTCAAAATGTTTTTACCAAAGTTATTGAAATAGAGTTTTATGTTTAAAAAAAGCCCACTGGCTTTAAAGTTACGCTGGCTTTTAATACATTTTAAATTTAGAAGCATTTCGATTTTCGAGATTAGCGCAACAAAAAGTTTTGGGAACTAAATTTCTAAATCCGAGGGCTCACAAAATCACGTGTTCTCAGCTGCGCTGTGATCGTTATGACGCATCACTCTTACGTAGATTTAAGTGGAAATATGATCAACAAAATTTTTGTAAGAAATCAATATTTCTAATTTGTTTTTTGTTTTCGTTTTACTTTTTAGAAATCTGCCCATTTTCCTTTCCTAATAACCCCTTTTTTGGTTTCTGATTTGCTGAAACTTACCATATGTGCCTCTGAACATTCTCTGCCTGAATTATTAATCGAATGCATATCACCAATAGTACCAGATGCACATTTTCTGCGCCATGGGTGCTTTTGTAAATCTAGAATTTAACGGACAATTCTGAAATTTTTACAATGTAAGAAAATCCTAATCGTGTGCTGCAACTCTGAGTTCATGCAACGATTAAAATGAATATTAAGAAAAAAATATCAGTTGGTTATTATACAGTTTTATAACCCTGGGAGGCATGAAACATTTTTCCTTCTTCTTTAAAGATGGATAGAAGTCATCCTTTTATTTGATCTTCTCTAAGTACAGATTTTTAAAATCGAAAAATCAATTAAATAAGTTCCCAAAACTTTTTTATAAATCGGCTCAGCTCTGTTTTTAGTTAGTCGTTAATGTAAAACTCATAAACAGATAAAATTCTGTTTTTATAAAAAAAAAATCTTTCTATAAGTTGATGCGTTTGCAAGGTTTAATGAGCCTAGAAACTTTTTTCTGTACCTTGAAGTTCAGTTTATCAGATGAATTTTTATTACAACTAAGTCCAACAACAGGGGTTTGAAAACAATCCCAAATAACCTATTACGGTCGCTGATAAATTTGAACGCTTTTATGATTGATGACAAATTTGTGAACAAAGTTGGACGCTTTTCCTACTATCGGTTGCACAGTTTTATTCAAACTTTTTTTGCAACTTTGTCAAAATTCGGTCAACAAATTAATTATTCAAACCTATTTCAGTTTTTGCACTTTAAACTTGTGTCGTCTGCGAAGAAAATCACCAGCAGTGTTTTCACCTGCACTTGGTTGGTCGTACTAGATTATGTAGAAATAAGGACCCAGAAATCAACCCTGCGTTACCCCGCCACTTGTTTGTTTCTTGGAAACTTCGCTTCGTATTCTCTAAGCTCTCAAAAAATTAAATATCGAGCTAGTTAACTTTGTTAAGAAAAATTAATTTTGTTTAAAAGGAATTCTCGAAAAAATAAAGCTTTTTTTTGATGTATAAAGTATACATTGGGTTTTAACACAAATGAAGACTACTAATTTCATATTTCGCCTCTTTTTGTTCGGACTTTGAAAAAAAAAACGGAATATTTATACTCGGTGTGTTTTTTCAAATAGTCAGTCAACTTTCTTCAATCGAAATAATAGTTTTCAACAAAAAGTTTCTATATCTCATTAAAGATAATGATTTCTTGAGTCCAAATTTTTTAAAAAATTTTTCACATCCGATAGTTTTTTGTAAAGTTCTGGAGGTTTGAAAATTCCAAATTGGCCATGTTCTAGACTAAACTGTGCGCGCTTTAAAAAGTTTTACATAACTCTGAGAGCGTAACGCGAATTGTTTCTGCGTGGCAAAACATCCCGCACAACAAAATCCTTCCAAATTGAATTGAGGCTAGCTAATTGGTCATATTAATTTCGTACGACTCAAAAAATTACAATTCGATTTTGTCCCAAGTTTACAGGTTTTCTATCTTTTCTCTTCACAAAAACTATTTGATACGAGTTAAGGGACAGTCGGAACAGAACATTCAGGGTTTTGCCCTAATATACGAGCAGTCTTGATTTGCTGTATAATTCGAGTTCAAGAGTTTTTTCAACAGCATATTTCATTGTACATTTTCATTGCAACTATTTTACGCACCCTGCTTAACAAAATTTATATGACACTTAGAATAGTACGCACATTATAAACATTGACAGGACTACTCGTATCAGGATGCAATTAAAAAGATTTAGTTTAAAATTGATAAATTGAAGTTTTTTTTATTGTTTTATCTCGCTTCGTTCATTTTATTTCCTCCGGGCTACAGTGCTGATTTAAATTAACCGGACAAAACGCGTTGAACTTGAAAATTAAAATCCGTTTTTCTCAAATTGGTTTAAACTTAGGTGAAAATTTATGAGGACACAACTTGCTTAAAATTTTAGCAGAATTAATATGGTGTAATTTGTTTTGCTAAATTCGGGCCCGAAATTTTACCCAAAAAATGGGTCATTTTGGCTTTTTTAGTTAATCAAAAATTACGCCGAAAATACGCAGTCGATCACAGACATAATTATATCAAAGTGAGCCCCTTACGCAGCCCAACAAACTCTATGAAAGGTATTTTCTCCAAAAAAATTGCAAATTGTTTAAAAATTGTTTTTAAATAAAAAATTGGTATTTTATATAGTAAAAACGACCTTTTTTGTCTATCAAACAAAAATAAATTGAATTATACAATATTTTGGAGATTATATCTTTCTTACAATTTGTTGGGCTGCGTAAGGGGCTCACTTTGATATAATTATGTCTGTTATTGACTGGGTATTTTCGGTGTAATTTTTGATTAACTAAGAAAAGCCAAAATGACCCATTTTTGGGTTAAAATTTCGGGCCCAAATTTTGCAAAACAAATTACACCATATTAATTCTGCTAAAATTTTAAGCGAAATTTGTCTTCATAAGTTTTCACCTAAACTCAATCCAATTTGAGAAAAACGCGTTTTAAATTTCAAGTTTAACGCGTTTAGTCCGGTTAAATTAAATCAGCACTGTATTTAGGTACAAAATGCTACATTCTCCGCCTGGGGACGCTTTTAATAGGTCCAAAATCTTGCTCAATTCGATTTCGGATTACTTTATTTGCCGCGTACACTTCAATAAGACGAAATACATAAATATCTAATAACTAGAAAAAATGGTTGCAGGAGAATTTTTTTTTAAATTGAGCGCACACCTTTATTTCAGACCAGCTAAATAACGGCTTAGAAAATTGAAATCATGATTCCAGGGATTACTCAAGGCTTCAAACGCTCTATATTTGATCTGGAATAGTTTTTGACAGAAAGAAATCGGATAAACTGTAAGCTTTGATATTAGTCAATATCAAATGGTAAGTGTTACAGTTTGAGTCGTTTACGGAAACGTCACATCTGAAGTTGGTGTTCTACTTAGTGGCACTACTGTTCTAGACTGATAAATGTTTGCATGAAGCGTAACTTTTCCTTCAAAATTCTTACTTGGCTTTGAAAAATTATAAATTTCCACTTGATTCGAGAACAACGAACAATAGCATTTTTTCGTTTACATAATATGAAACAAATGGTAGGATGGTATCAGGTCTTGCAACCTATTTCTTATCCCCTTAAAAGAGCAAAAATTTTTAGTAATACAAAGGATACAAACAATGTAGACAGATGAAAAACAAAATTAATCATTGGATCACACGAAACAAGGTGCTACCCATGATACTAACGAATATTTCGAAAACAAAGACAAGACTGCTCGTATCAGAAAAAAACTCTGAATGTTGCGACTGCCCTTTAAGGTTTATTGAGCAGCAGTAATACTTCAAAAAATTAAATGAAATAAAATAAAATGAAAATTTTTTTTCTAAAATTTGAAATTTTTTTATAAAAACCATCCCCCCACACGCCATATAAAGTACAAAAACATAAATTTCGTTCCTTGTAAAAAACCAATTATGGCAAATAAGCTTCGTTCAACCAATTTGGAACGATTTATAAGACGGATTAAATCTCGCTTACTTGTTAATAGCGCGAACTAAATTTCGCGTTAATTGTCCCAAATTGGTCAAAATGGCCAAAATGGCAATCTTTAAACCCTCATAACTTTACGAAAAAGGATCACATGTGAAATATCTTTTCAAATTTAAGCTCAGGACAACAATACTTTTGAATGATCTAAAAACAATTTCGTCAAAAATGGCTAGTTAAAAAGTCGAAATTTGTCTGAAGAAAAAAAAAAACCACCCCGAGCATAAATATTCCGTTACTTTCGTATCGAAAGTCGGAACAAAAATCATAAAGAAATTTCATTACCAATATATCAGCTACATTTAAACTCTTTACCTTAAAAGTACGAATTTTAATTCACTTACTTACTAAAATAGGTTTTCAAAAAATACATTATCGAACAAAATATTAACTGAAAGATTTTTAAGATACACTTTGAGCTGTTAGTCTACGATCTCATAATTTAACTAGTTATCGAACACAAGCAAAATTGATTGACGTTCCTTCCTTAATTCTGATTGTTTTTGTGGTTGAACTCAAATAAATTCAGCTCCTAAGAAAGCCATAAAAGACCGTTTTTCTGCTGTTTTGGTAAATTTGTTTTTTTTAAAGTAATCACAAAAAAGCTTTTGTTAAGTTGTAAGTTTGTGCCTGGTTCATTGATCAGTCTTACCACGCCGTTAAAAGCAATTTTGTAAACTTAGTAATCGAGAGTACTCGCTCCCTCCCCTTCAAAACTAGAATATTTTAGAATGTTTTAGGGTCATTGGGCCAAAACATGTCGTAATCCAGTACCAAAAGGGGATTCTTTGCGTGGTGAGGGAGTCGAAGCCCCCTCTAGCTACTGAATCCGCTACTGAAGGATATTCATTTAGCGAGTTCTCACATTCTCATTCTAAAGGCTTACTTTGGAAGCTCTTTCTGCTATTTCTGTATGTTTGTATATATTTGTTTGTTTGTGTGTAATGCAGAGATTGGCTGACCAAGGGATGTCCAGTGGTCTTCCTCCCCAGAAGAAGCAGGTGGACCCCAGTCCCAACAGTCTCCTCAGAGACAGACAGTTCCAACAAGTGTTCACTGTCAAAATCAGAAAGGTTAAGTTCATTAACACCACGCAACTTCCACATGTATTCAATCTTGGATAATATCAATTCAAAATTTTTTTAAGCCACATCGGTCGTCATATGTGGGACCTTGAGTTCTCTAAATTGTCAAAATTTACTTAATGGTCAATTGGTTACAGAGAAGCACAGTACTTGGCAAAAAAAAACAAAAAGAAGACATTATGATTTGAAATTTCTCATTTTAGCAAGAGAATTTTTGTGTGTTTGCAGAGAAACAACTCATTTGGGTTCCACGTGGTGGGGGGAATTGACAATCCGAAACCCTCCAATGGAGACCCCAGCATAGTGGTATCTGACGTCATACCGAGAGGAGCTGCTGTCGGCGTATTACGGTGAGAATATACGTCTTAAAATAAGTTTCAATTTTGTGCTTGTTACGAAACGTCGCTTGCTACTAGTCGTCGCCGATCCAGCAATGCAAGTTACATCAAATATACATCAAATATATCAATATTCACTCAAGCGTATTTCACCTCATTGACTTTTTTGTGAGCCAGATGGGACATTTGTGCGAGGGAGAGGGAAAACAAGATAAACTACGCTTTTTGATGTCAAATTTTGCGATCCACTCGAGATTTCTCGAAAATTTAACATCAACAATAATTATTCAAGCAAACATTGAGACGAATGTATAACAACTTTTGATTGGATATTTAAATTCAACTGTTTTGATTCAACTTAAAGACTTTGTGTTTTAGTTCGTTTTTCTCAAAAAAGAAAAACAAAAGCTCTTGAGCTGAAAAAGTGATCAAAAAAGGCAAATCTTGATTTGATGATTTGAGTCGGTATATGAAACTGAAAATGGTGTTTGATATTGTTTTTGTGTTTCAGTGTGCATGATGTAGTGCTGCGAGTGAATGACTCATCGATGCGGAGAGTGACTCAGGCAGATTATCACAACTATCTCTCTTTCGTCATGGATGAGGCCGTTTTCGTAAGTACCCCAAATTCCCTCACGACATTGGCCCGGATAACACAAAGTCTTATTAGCCAACTAAAATTCAGTATTCAAAAGCGAGACATCAAAATTGCGTGGCAAAGCGTGGCAAAATTGACCAAAACAGCGTCTTTTTAGTGCTTTAGGAGTGCTCGGAAAATCAATTTGCTCGACCTAAAAAAAAGGTTGTCAAAATTTTCAAATATTTTTTTGAAAATCAGAAAGTTCTAGATCCGCCCTTGCTATCACATACTCTTACTGAATTGAGTTGAATCTCGTTAAAAATTCAAAATTGTCGGAAGACAAAAAAAAACAACAACCACCACAAATACTCCGTCATGTTCTTTGAAAGTCGTAACATTTATTATAAGCCTCGTTTTTTACTTTTTCTTTCTGGGCTTAGGACTAAATCACTCAGGATATAATACCCCAGGACGCATACCCCTAGATAAAATCCCCTAGAATAAAATCTGCCGTAGGATAAAATTCCCTTGGGACAACACGTTTTTTAAATTAAATGCGCTGGAAAATAATTTGTATACATAAAATGTGTTTGTTTTTGTTCCGACTTTTATAACGAAAATAACGGAATATTTGTGCTCGGGGTGGTTTTTTCTCAGACAAATTTTTGACTAGCAATTTTTTTACATCATTTGAATGCTATTGTTGTCTTAATTTAAATTTGAACAGATATTTTACCTGTGATCATTTTTTGTAAATTTATGGAGGTTTACAAATTGCCATTTTGGCCATTTTGAGACAATTAACGCGCGATATATTTCGCGCTATTAACGTGTAAGAGAGATTTAATCCGTCTTAGAAGTTGTTCCAAATTGGTTCAAGGAAGATTATATGCCATAATTGATTTGTTAATAGGCGCAAAATTTATCACTGTGTTACTTAATATGGCGGATGGGGGGAGGTTTTCACTAAAACTTTCAACTTTAAAAAAAATTATTTTATTTTATTACATTTAAATTTTTCAACTTGTTTCTGCTCCATAGACCTTAAAAGGCAGTCGGAACATTCAGAGCTTCGTCCTGATTCGAGCAGTCTTCTTTATAGATTTCATTTTCAAATAACTTCCACTTACACATACATTGCAAGTAGGAGTGGAAGTCATTGGAAAATGAAATCAGTACAAAACTAGAATCATTTTATGTATACAACTTGATTTCTATGTACGTGGATGTGTAAGTTACTTCTATCATTTTTATGTGATTTTTCAACAACTTTAAGGTTCCAGCTTTCAGTTGATTTTCTATAAAAATGATAAAAGAAAGAAGAAGCTCTGATTGCAAAAAATATTAAGCCACAGTCAGGAAGACAAACGAATGGAAAAGAATGTTCATCACTTTTTGTTCCAACTTTCGATACGAAAGTAACGGAATATTTGTGCTCGGGGTTGGTTTTTTTTCTTCAGACAAATTTCGACTTTTCAACTAGCCTTTTCAAAAGGTATTGTTGTCTTGAGCTTAAATTTGAAAAAATATTTCACCTGTGATCATTTTTTGTAAAGTTATGAGGCTTTAATGATTGCCATTTTGGCCATTTTGACCAATTTGGGACAATTAACGCGCGATATTCGCGCTATTATTCGCGCTATTATTCGCGCTATTAACGCGCAAATAAGGGGAGATTTAATCCGTCTTATAAATTGTTCCAAATTGGTCGAACGAAGCTTATTTGCCGTAATTGATTCGTTACAAGGAATAGAATCTATCTTTTTGTACTTTAAATGGCGTGTGGGTGGATGATTTTCAAAAAAAATTTCAACTTTTAGAAAAAAAAATTTCATTTTATTTTATTTCATTCAATTGTTTTACGTTAATACTGCTGCTCCATAAACCTTAAAAGGCAGTCAGAACATTCAGGGCTTCGTCCTGATACGAGCAACCTTGTTAGTCTTTATGCTATCTATTTTTTCTGTTAATTATCTTTCATCATTTAGTTTCACTTTTAGTGTCGCATTTGTGTTGAGTTCTAATATGGGGGTTCTTAAACTAAAAACTGGGGGTTTTTGTTCTAGGGGGTTTTGGTCGTATGGTGTTTAGTCCGGGGCGATTTTATGCGCTGAGATTTTGTCCTGTAGGATTTATTCTGGGCCATTTAGTCCGCTAGCGACTGAAAAAATGTTTGTACCCGTACTATCAAATCAAAAATTTTATCCGATTCAAACTGATTTTTGCACAAATTTTTTAAATCAAATTACGGTAGCCCATACATTAAAGCAAACCAATTTATATTGAGCTTCAACGGTTTTCACTGCGATGCTTCAAAATTTAACTCACTTTATAATTTTCCGTGATAGCTTGGCGCAATCAGTTGTTTGCTAATAACCATCCCCCTACCGCTAAATCCTCTTTCTATATTTGGCGAGACTAGCAAAAAAAAGAGTAGCTTCAAAGCGATAGCTCAGTTTTTAAAAATTAAAATTAAATTGAAACAAATTGACTTAGCATTGCGCAACAAATAACCGGTCAAACTCTATGGAATGATTTGCGGAAATGCTGAGCTGTTTAATTCAATAATATTATACTTCATACATTGTCTAATTTCGGCAAGTTGAAGCTTTTACAGCTGTTTTGCGAGTGACCTTTAGCTGGAGTAGAATGCTCTGCCATCTAAAAAAGATAAACCATACATTGTTAATAGTGTTTCATTTTTCACACTGAAAAAAATTTCAAAAGGAATATAAAAAGTTTCATCTGTGAATAGTTCAGCCGTCAAACGTATCATATTTGTATTTATTGGACACAGACCGTACTCTGCGAAACCTATTCTTGCGAACAAAAAACACAACAATTCGCAGCCAATCAATTTTTGAAAATTTTTAAACCTAAATTATGATTACCTTTTTGCCCGAACTGACACAAATTGAGTAAAATTGATTTTGCTTAAAAAAGAGACAAAAAACATGGAATTGAGTTTATTTCAAAGCAGTTAAAATCAATTTATATCAACATTTCTGCAGCTCAAATCAAACTGATAGGAGATTTTGAGAAAAAACTGAGTCAAAATTTTTTGAGTTTAAATGAAATTTAAATCACTTTCTGCTGAAATCTTTTTAATTTGCGAAGTAAGGTTAGTAACAAGAGAAAATCAGTGAACAATAAGACGAAAACAATCCTTCTTTTTCATTTTGAGCATTTCCTTGCTTTAAATTAATTGAGAAATGGCATTTCATGCGGTTTTAATGCAAAACTTACGCAAAAAAATATGCTCAATTTGGATTATATTCGATTACATCAGGCTATTTTGGTCCCTAAATCTGATTTACAAAATAGTTTTTTTTTAAATTTTTAGCTGAAAATCATTTTATAGTTTCAGTTGAAAATCTTTTTTGAGCGGTTTTTTTTCCATGTTTGTTGTTTTAAAATGTTCATAAAATGAAATGCCAATCAAACTTTTAATTTTTCAAAGAAAAGTTTAATGTCGCCATAAGCTATGGGCACTTTGAGAACTCAAAAAATGTTTTTCACGACAGTTCATTTTTAGTTTGACCAAATACGATCAGTTTTGTCATCTTTTTTCTTAATTCTTCTCCCACCTGCAATGTCTCCGGGTTGACCTCTAATCATAGACTTTTCATGCACTTTTCTGTACTTATGGAATTACATGAAAAGCGTATGATTAGCAGTTTTCCATATATGAAACTTGTATGGCTAGCATTTTTGGTCAATCCGGGTCACGTACTAAGTGACATAATCCTTATCTAGCAACGTTGAAACATTTTTTTATTCATAAAAATCAAAGCTTATGATCCTTTTAAAACGAGTACAAGTTGTTTTTAACTGCATTCATTCGGATGTTCTGTGTTAGACCCACAGTTCGGTACGTAGCCTAAGACTAAGTAGATATAAGGAATTTTTGCTTAAGTAATAAGAAGAGTTAAATCAGCTTAAGTTCATTCTGTTAAAAGTCGATCTGATGATTTTCGGATCTGACCTCGAAAGCATGTGAGTGACAAAAATTCATAATAATTAGTGCAAATTTGATTAAGTTAAGTAAGTACGAATTTATATCAGACTTCTAAACTTTAAGTATCTATACCAGCTGATTATTGTAATCAGATGGTTATCTTAAAATAGTAATATAGTTTCTAATTATCTATACCAACTGGTTATTGTAAGTAGCATCGGATAGTTATCTCAATATAGTGAGATAGTTTCATGTTCTTGTTTTAGGGCATCTGATTATTCCAAAGGATAATCCTCTCATATCCGTACGGATAAAATTCCCCCTTTCAAAACATTCTCATAAATTTTCTTTTGTTCGAATCACTATTGGTTGTTGTAGTTTTTCTTGTCATCTGCTTTAGAAGAAGATGATTTTTTTCTGTGATTCGATGACTTCTCGTTCCCTTTGGAAGTCTTGGTGGGCGATAGCGATTGGAGGATACTCATTGCCGTGTCGAAGTTGTTTAAGAATGCTGCGTCAGGTGTGGTTGCTTTTGGTGGCCGTTCTAGGACGTATCTTGAGCTAGTTGTTCTGTTTGATTGCATGAGGGGGCCCTGAGTCAGTGTCAACTCGTTTGTGGGCCTTAGTGTGCCTCTTTTTGACGACTTGTTGCTCCTTTCTTTGTTCCCTGCATTAACGTGTTCCGGTGTTAGCGTATCCATTTGGATTTCTGTGCATTCTATTGATGATGATATTGAAATAAATTCCGTGTTGGGATCGTCCCCTGTGGCGAATTGTGTTTCTGGTTCCTCCCTTAAGGTAGCCGGAATTTTTGCCGGCACTATCTGGACTTGGCAGACCACGTTTTTAGTGATCTTGTTTTGCTCATCAACCTTGCTGATGGATATTGAATTGCCGACTTTTCCGGCTATAGTACTTGTTCGGGCCCTGGTGGAGCGGCGGCAGTCGTGTTCAAAGTCGTCCTGGGTGCGCTTAGTGTCAATTCTCTTAGCGGCTGGCTTTTGTGGCGATGGCGTTTTTCGGATATGGTCTGAGTCGGACGATTAAGAAATTGAGGTGTCGCAGTCAAACTTTTT